AACAACTTGTATTTCTTCCGGACATGCATCACTGCGCACATCGTGCAGAGGTCGGTGTATTATCAGCTAGCACCAAGCGTCACTAAATCTGCGTCACTAAATCACTAAATCTATCTATAGTTTGTTCTCTGCAAACTCCTTGCTCGAGTTATCGCCAACAGAAGTGATAGAACACTGGACCAGGGACAACCCTAGGAACAAGCAGGGTTTTGAAAAAGATTCCAGTTGATATATCACATCCACAAGACAACGAGAGTGAAGCGACTCTGCCTCACTTTTATCGCCCTTTAAAGTAACTGTACATCAACACTCGAGAACGTCATGCGAAAATGCAACAGGAACGTGAGACTGAAAATCGATGGTTGTTGACTGCACCAATTTTTTTTTCGTTGTACAACATGAATACAACAGAATGTTGTACCGTTTTCGCTTGGCTGGTGGCATCCTTACCACAATAGCAAACATTAGTCAGAGGAAAGTAATGTTGGCCGATTTCGTGAATGCTTGTGGAAAGACTGCTCTTCTACTGAATTTCAAAAAGGGTATGCTAGTAAGAAACAGTCCTACTTGTGTCGGTTCCATTCACGCTCAACGAAATTAACATTTGTCAACGCTACAGGTAAATCTACCCGGATCGAATGACTACCACACTGTGACAAGAGCTGTGACGACTAGGTTACACACGGTGGCAAGCGCACAACAACAAGGCAATCAACCCGATATCCAGAATGATTACCGAAGGTCCTAGAAGGAAAAGGTGTTGCTTACTACTTTTCTGGAAATAATAGGATATATTGGATTTCTTCTGCACAAGACATGGACAAGTGAGGCCTTTATGACATCCGCTCGAGATACTAGACTATCGGCAAGGAATAAGTGATACAGCACTGCTTTTGTTCAAAAGTTATTCATGAATACAATGCCGTTTGTCGTTTCAAGAGTGTCTTTTCTTCCACTTAATGACTTGCACAGTGGCGTAGATGAATTTTGACTATTCACGGAGGTTGGTGTCCCTCGCTTGCTTGTCTCCTCGAACTCTGTTGTTCATACTGTGGGTTGTTGGGTTGAATAATGAATTCGGGATCCCTTCTTATGCTATATTCAGTAGTTAAGTCTACCACTTTGAACACCCCAAGTTGAAACGCAGTCACCTTGTTTCCGTTTTCTGCACTGCTTCGTCGATACCTTTGGAAAGTTACAACATTTACTCTTTCTTTTCACTTTAGCTGTCTCATATGCTTAATCGTCTTGGTTCCTTGTTCATACTAGGCATAACTGGATCATCGGCTAATGGTCGTTCCGCCTCGTGTGAGTGGAAAACCAGCAATAATTCGCTTTTGATGAACATATTGCAACACTGTCTGTTGAAACATAGCTTTTTCATCGTTTGATTTTTTAACATTGACTCATCATTCATTATCATTAGCTGGGAGCCAGAGCCACCATGATATAAAGGCTGAGGAGATTAAAAGTGGAGAACCAGTTGAAATTGCTACTACTAACAACATCTTCTGCAAGTTCCTAATAGTGATTCAGAAGTAATAGTGCTGACCTAGCCACCAACCACAAGTAGAGTGTTCCAAATAATACAAATACTTGGTCACTTCTTTATTTACTGCCCATTTTTTGTATGGCATGGGATGATGTGAAATATACCTACAATGGTGTCGAGATATTTGCAAACTCCGAACTGCAGGTGTCTGCGGTGGGGATCGAAAACGGTATTACTCTTTCCGTGCGCTAACGGATTCAACACCGCACTATGCGAGTACCTTCTTTAGTCGTTCTATCAGCCGTGTTTTATAGACTCTTTTCCAAAAAGCAGCTGTCAATGTATTCACGATGGGTCACAATGCGTAATACAAAAATGATCAGGAGTGGGTATGTGGTCGCCTTCATCATGAGTCCTATATGTGATTGAGACGCAAGGGGTGCATGTAGCGTGGTGGTTACAGGTGTCCCGCAATACTATCACCAGTTTGATACCGCACCCAGGGCCCACCAACCTCTCCACCATTCCGAAGTCTGCAAACTGCTACTGGATTTGTTTGGAAGGATGGTCGCACTGAATTGATATATCAGCGAGCCATTTCAAATTACTGTACAGCCCAAATAGGCATTCAAACAATTCCAATAATTAAGTCGTATACAGAGGTGACTGATGCATACTTGGCTATACATTAACGTGTTGAGGTCTACCACTGTACCAAACTAATGTTGTTATCCTCATATACAATTCTGGTAGCAATTTATAGACCAGAGAGTGATGAAGAACTCAGTTGTCAACAGTGTAGAATCGAGGTAAAGACCATGTCTGTCACAGCGAATCGGTGTGAACTCTAATCACTACACTACACACTTCTACTAAGGATTACGTGCAAAAACACCAATTCTCTCGCGTATCATAAAATTCTAATCTATGAGCAGAAGAACGTAGATAGGTTCGTCTAGTGGTTCTACTATCCAAAGACACATCAAATATCTGTCAATCTTTATCGGAAAAGCTATATCCGATCGCAGAATAATACAATGAACATTGAACACAACAACAACATCTGACACCGGAATCCCAAAAACACACAGGTTTTCAGTATCAAACGATGTCCATCACTCGGTGCTGCACAAATCCCTTAAGAATTGCATGAAAAGAAAAACAAAATATGCCATCCACAACATCGACGTTGGTTGTTATAATTCTTGGAACACAAGGACGATGTCGTGTTGTAGACTGCATGACATAACACGACATTCATAGATGTATGTATATATACATAATATAAAAATCAAGAAATCGACTCTATCGATGTAATACGATATGTTCCATCAAGTGAATAATCGACCTGTGAGATTTTACAATCCTCCTCATTCAATGTCTTAACAAAACCAACTCCACTTGAAGAGTTGATGAGTAAAATTGCAAACAAAACTGTTGAATTGAGTGTATTTCTCTTCGAAAAAGGCAAAAAAAAAATAACATAAACGTTTCTGAACTGTGAACTAAAAAGGATCAGAAGACTTTGCATGTAACTTTGATAGCACGCATCCATATTTATGCATGACGGGCTGGCTGGCTTAAACACCGCACCTCTCTCCATAGGATGAAATGTTCAGGAAACGCCCACAACAGCTTAAGCAGAAGTTTTAGGATGTCATAGAATAGGCCGATAGGAAACGAACTATACAGAATGTTGTTGGTCTAATCAACTCACTGTTGTTTAATATGGAAAGTGCTACCATACGTGTCTGAGGTGAATATACGGAAATAGCAGGGTGTCGTAAATTCAGCCTTTGCCAACTTGTCGAAACCTTGCATTGTACCGAGAACACCGCCAACAAATGCAACACCTAAAGAGCGGCTATATTACGCTTTTAAACGAGGAAACTCATAAATTTTTGGTATTGCATGTATATACGCAAGTGATATACCATCTCATCTTGTCTGGAGAGAAATTCGACAATCGGCGATTCACCTGACCAGCAAAATCATTCCAGGTGAAGACGACTTCAACAGTTTCGTCCGGAACATCAGTTAAAAGAAAATCAGCACCACAGTGAAGCCCAGCGAGAGCCTCATAAATTAAGTCCCTCGTTACGAAATTGCGAGGTCATCGTGTCCGTTAAAAGAGTTAAGCAAACTGGACAGCTCCAAAATGTGACAGAGATAAATGAAGATATGCTAGCATAAGTTACTTCATGATGGTGACACGAATGATGATATACGTTGTAAGACCACCGCATACACCTGCGGTCCGGAGTTTTGCAAATATCTCAGCATTATATACGTTGTAAGAATTGAAACCGCGCAAGCACCATAAACGACGGAAAGGTCACCAAAAGTTGTAGTCAAAAAAAAAGCCTATGTTATGCTCATCCGTGCCGTCAGAATCCCATGGCAAATCTTTCCCTCAGCTATACGTCATCCTTCTAGTTTGCATCCTTCTTGATCTGTTAATTACTATTAAACAGGATGTCATTTTGTCATGCATTTCTAACAAATTTGTTCACCTTATACGTAGTTGTGTAAAGTGAATACAATAATACAGACGGAAATCACCTGTTATGCTTGCTATAAATGCGCAAATCAAGGACACCTGTTTCCACTCACAATCAGTGAACTACTCGCTCAGCACTTCATCCTTCCGTGTTCTATGAATTTGAGTCTACAATGCTCCTCATATGAAGGGCAACATGATGATTGAGGTAGCTCGTGAGGCTACGTGACGCGTACCCAGATGAAGGATGGGGATTCGAGGTGGATCGAGCGATCGTGGTTTCCCTGAGACACAGCTGAATTCAAAAGCCGAGCTTCTAATCTCTCTGTTGCTCAGGATTATCTGATACTTTCTATGCGGACTTAACCATAGTCATTAGTGCAAACGAAGGTATTTGTTTGCAACCGAACTGCACGTCGAACATTGATTCTGCCAAAAGCCTGCAACAGTGTGACTGAGATGTCGGATTCGGAGCTGCCATGAAAAAGTGATCTTCACGTCCACTGCTGTGAATAAGCCTATTCACATCTAAGTTGCCAACAGGTGCTTTCTTGTAGTAAAAATAATAGAAATAAAAGATCTCATGTGAGAAGTTTGTTGTCACCCGTGTCTCACAAGGGGGCGGAATCCGCTGATCACCGGGACCCAAGAGTAATGCAGAAAAGAGATTGTTTAACTTATTCGAGACTCTTGCATTATTTCATTCGGCTAACGTCTTGATGTCTTCGTCTTCCGCAAAGCCGATGATCCAACTTGATGGTCTACAACCGTTCGTCGTCGTGCTACGAGACTTCGTAGTCACATCGAATTGAATCTTCTTGGATGGATCATACTTTGAATGGAACAACCTCACCGGTGGTGTCCCTTTGTACAAGCGGGTTCTTGACTGACTGTCCACTGATAATGATTTCTTGCTCCAGCAAAGAAGATGCGACTCGATAAGACAACGATGACCCACGTGAGCGTGAAGATGAACGACTGTGAACTGTCGACTCGGATTATTGGCTGTGAAAAAGACGAAGACATCGAAACGTCAAACGAATAAAGGTTAAATAACAGCCTCGTGTAAGCTGAACAATTAAAAAAATATATTGACATTCACCGTCAAAATTAGGTATAAGTCGGTTTAGTAAAGTATAAACAAACGGTGGTTCCTCGAGCCACTCGATAAACGATGGGATTACAACTGACACAGGTGAAGGCATAGCTACTTGGACAATAAGATCATATTAGGCATAAAGGATAAAAAGGCTCTCGGCGTTGATCAATCGCTGAGGGATGCGCCATGCATTCGACTTCATTAAGCATCGTTTGGAGATGATTGAATGCATATCTTGCCTTTACAATAACTCGCGGTGGCCTACCGCTGTATCGAGTCAGTGCTGCTATCCTACCAGACAAGTATGATACCAATTTGCCAATCCCGGAGGGATGGAAGGCCTGGTGGACCATGGGCGCTGGGATCGATTCCACGTGTGTATTCCTGGGCGCCTCCGACTACTGCGCCACACGCGACTTAATATATTAGGCATACCACCAGAAAAATCAAAAAAACTTACCAAGAATGAAGAAGTTAACGATGAGAATAGTTTTATCAGTACGGCGAATGACACTGAAATTAAAAGCAAAAAAATCATTTGAGGTTGATGTCATGACAATAATTGTACAACATATTTCAGTCAAAAATTCGAGAATTGTATAGAAGAGCGGTAATCAATATCTAAATTTTATACTTACTCCATTGTTGACGGTATGTGCCCCTTTCGCCATTCTTCTTCAGTAGACGCTTCGCTCCACAAGTAAAATAACACCGGCAGCAGAACACATCCAATGGGGATTGTTGATGCTCCAACCTGTTGGAATAAAACAAAGATAAAACCCTCTTTCTAAGAGGGCTAAGAGGCAGCAAAAACGCCTCAGACACTAAAATTTGCAAACTGAACCCTCTGAGGCTATTTGAGTCCTTGTAAATAAATTGGTGAAGTGAAAGATATTTGGGTGCATCTGATTAAAGTTAAAGTTCTTATGTTCTTATGTTAAACCAAAACTCAGCAAATGAATTTCCAAATCTTCTATAATCTATATCAAAAGCTAAGTTCTAAAATTTTCGGCGTTGGTTAGACCCTGAGGGATGCGTCATGTATTCGACTTTATTAAGTATCGTTTGGAGGTGATTGAATACATATCTGGCCTTTACAACGACTCGCGGTGACCTACCGATGTAACGAGCCAGTGCTGCTATCCTCCAAGACAAGTCTAGCACCAATTTCTCGACACTGGAGGAATGGAAGGCTTCCTGGGCTACGGGAGCGGGGATCAATCCCATGTGTGTGTTGCAGGGCTGATCCGACCTCTGCGCCACACGCACCCTTCTATCTAAGCTATACCAAGGAGCAAAAATCATGAACCATGAATGCTGTTTTCCTTACATTCGTTACAACCAAACTTTATTAAAAAGCACTGTGCTTGTGACTTTCCGTTTCCTATATTCTTCAGTTAGTAGATATATGCTCACCAGATTCATGACAGGCGAGAAATCAGGCACGGACAGAGCTACAAACAACACTAGGAGAAGTACGGTGGTGCGTGTGAGAACTCGTCCCTTTCCGAAGGCTAAACGGCAACATATGATTACATCAACAAACTAAATGTGCTCACAGACTCAGGAAATTGTGACTAACATACGACTTTTTCAATAAAAAAGACTATCAGCGATAATATACAGAAAAAGGGAGCATGATTCAAAATACGAATTACTGTAACGTGGCGATAGTTTCTGAACCCACAGTGTTAACTTTTTATTTACTGTCTATTACAATTTTGTCACGGCAGGGCGTTATATTTTCAGGGTATTTTACATTTTATTCTTTTACGATAGGGTATATTATACTATAAAATCACAATGATGCTGAGACATTTGTAAAACTCCGGGCAGGTGTCTACGATGGGGAATCAACGGGTTATTACCCTTTCCAGAGGCTAACGCGTTCACCACTACACCGTGCGGGTTCCTCCGAGTAAATAAGAAAGTTAACGTTGTGATTTCGACTGCAGCCTCTGCTTAACTGGGTTCATTTCTCATTTGGGCTCCCTAGATGAATCCCGTTGACGGGTGATTACTGATGGCACTGGTCGATAGAACTAGTGGAGAGAAAGGCGAAACGAAGGACCCGCATGGCGTGGTTGTGAACGCGTTAGCTCCCGGAAAGGGTAATAGGCGTGAGTTCCCCACCGCAGGCACCTGCGGTCTGGAGTTTTGCTGATTTCTGAACTATTCATTGTAGAAGGTTCCTACTTTGCACCTTACCTTCTCTGTTATAAATCCTCTGGAACAATTTTTAAAAACTAAAAGCAAGGTATAAAAATTTCCTATACTGGCACTAATTTCATACTCACCGTGAGAGACTTTCAGGTAGTGTTCGACTTCTTGATTTAATGGATTTATGACGATCACCAATGTCATAATGCAGTGTATTGCGATCATAAGGTTAGCACCAAGCTCAAGAGAAAAATTAATCATTTCTCTTAAGACGAAACTATGTGCACTTTTTGCACTCTTTAGAAACGTGCTTAACATAAAAAAATAATAAGCAGCGAGTCTAAAACCACCGAATAACTTCGACACGCCCTAAATTTTACCTGGAGCCAATCGGTTTGGATCGAATATATCACTGAACTTTCTAAAGATCCGCCATAGACAACATAACCGAATACTGAGAGCGGCATATACAGTATGACAACCACTACAAATATTTACCATATCACTAGAATTTCGTAAAACACTAGACTAAGAAGACAAATCACCATTATTGAAAATGGATCATCTTAAAGGAGGTACATTATACAGCGATTTGTAATATGTACTTAGGTTGTAGATCGCGGTGAACAACAATTAATCAGTAAACTCAATCTTGAAATTTCATATTACCAATATACATAAGGCGCGCGTAGCGCTGTGATCACAGGCACCCTGCGACACACGCGGGATTGATCGTCGTGCCCTAGGCTCACTAAGCCTTCCATTCCTCCGGGGTCGGCAAATTGCTACGAGACTTGCCTGGGAGGATAGCAGCACTGACTCTCTACATCGGTCGGCCACCGCGAGTCATTGTAAATACCATATATGCATTCAGTCACCACCAGTGATGCTTAATGTAGTGAATTCATGACGTATTCCTCATGGATTGATCAATGCTGACAACTCTATCCATTATCCTTCTTTTCATGTTATCAAAAAATTAGCAGATTTGCTAGAACAAGGACTATGGAGGGAAAATATTTGGACAAATGCACGTCTGCACCATTGTAACTGTAATCCTACGGCTGCTGTTCATTACTAGCGGAGTAGGGTGTACAAGGTGAAATCCAGCTATTAGGGAAGATGCGATCAAAACATCTTTATTGAAGAAGTGATAAGTATTTGAAACAGCTATAGAATCTTCCGACGAACAAGTCGCTGCCTTTGGCTGGCTGTTTCACGACTAACCAAAGTTATACGGAAAGAATCCTGTCAAAAATTTAATCACATGCCACTCGTCGTTTTATGACGCAATGACATAGGGTTCTCCATCTTGCAATTGAGTCTGACGTTTATTCGATGAAGACGTTGATCGGTTGAAATGCAGAAATACGACAATAAGGAGGCACCAATTTCTGTTTGTGAAGATTTGATCTATTCCATGGGTCGTGTTATCAATTGTAGTGATTTTCATTTTTCATGAAAAAAGGAGTTTTAATAGAAGTGTGTTATAGAATGAAAACAAGGTTTATATTTTAGTTACAACCACTCATTCAAAATTTAGGTCATGTGTCCACTCTCGCTAGCTTATTCAGTTCTAGGCGTTTGAATTTCCGACAACGGTTTCATAACAGTCGTCCTTATGATATTCTTCGTGAGCTGCACAAGGATTTCACAACCGAGATATCACTATTCTGCAACGATAATAACATCAGCATCAGAGAAAAGGTTAGACAAGGCGATGCTCTCTCGCCAAAATTATTTTCGGCCACCTTCCTGAACGTCATGCGAACATTGGAATGGGATGATATGGGAGAGAAAGCCGATGGTCGGCAGTTACATCATCTTCGCTTTGCTGATGACATCGTCCTTATAACACCAAACATTAGCCAAGCCGAACGTATGTTTGCCGACTTTGATAAAGCCTGTGGAAAGACTGGCCTTCGACTAAATCTCACAAAAACGATGTTCATGAGGAAAGGATTGGTCATTCACGCTCAATGGAACGATTTTCTCCGAATGCTCCAGTTATGTCTGTCTAGGTCGGGAAATCAATATGATGAACGGCTTAGCTGCAGAGCTGAGCAGAAGCAAACGAGCGGCTTGGGGAACTTTCAAGAGCACCGAAGCAGTAGTGAGGAGAACAAAGAAAACCCGTCTCCGTGCCCACCATTTCGACTCAACAGTACTTCCTGCCCTAACGTATGCATCAGAAACCTGGTCGCTGCGTAAGCAGGATCAAAGGTCACTCAGCGTTATCGAACGCGCAGTCGAAAGGACGATGCTAGGAGTATCCCGTTTCACACAAGTAAGGGATAGGAGGCGAAGCTCCGACCTGCGTCGACGATTCAAAAATCAGAGATACCGTTCTGTACGCTAAACAGTTGAAGATAAGGTGGGCCGGATACGTAATGCGTATGAATGACAACCGATGGACAAAAGCCGTTAGTGACTGGATTCCTCGGGATGTTAAACGTACTGCAGGAAGACCATCGACCTGATGGTCAGAGTTCTTCACAAAGAGCCTTGAAGAAAGATATGATGCTCGGCGAGTCCTTAGAGCGAGCAGAACCCACTGGGCGGCTCTTGTACGCGACAGGGAAAAATGGAAGATTTACTGGCGGCCGCCTGAGTCACTCGACGGCGAACAGGGCCAGAGGTGATACAGGTGATACGTCCTTATGAATCACTTCTTCCGATTCACTATAGAAAACGCTTGATTCTCCACCAGGTCGCGAAGTAGCAGCTGATGAGACTAACCCCTTGCTACGAGCTTAGGTAGAAAACGAAGGAATAAAAGGATGAAGCTTTCGGTGTTAATCAGTCCTATAGGATGTGTCTCACATTCGACTTCATCAAGCATCGTTAGAGATGACTGGATGCGTACCTGGTCTATACAACACTTGGTGTGGCCTACCAATGTATCAAGTTAGCGCTGCTATCCAACTGGATAATTCCGGGACGAATTTCACCAGAGGAATGGAAGGCTTGATGAACTCGGGCACGAGATCGCGCTGAGGACCACGTATGTATTACAGGAGATATCACCTCGAACCACTGCCCTCCACGTACCGGAACAGAGCGAAAAATTAGCAAATGACATGGAGAGACCTTATATGGACCCACATAGTGTGTAACAAATCAACACGATGCTGAGCACGGTCACTACAGAAATTTCGTGATATCATCTACTTCCTACCGATAATATGGTTCTCATAATCTTATTGGCATATTACTCATCTTATAGCTTCTGCTTTTCTGTGAAGCGATCTTTTTTAAAAACAATTTAATCTAGTTGATTAAGAAAATTGGTGTCAAAGGATATACAAATCATTCTCCACACTCCATAAAATAAGATTTTTAATTCTTTTGATAACCAGCGTATCTAAAGAAAATACAGCAACTGTAGAAAACGTACAGAAAAATCCGGCAAGGACACTTTTGGTGAAATCGCGAGGGTTCTTCATATCATGTTGAATTGTAGGGAATACGAAGTGACCGGAAAAGGCGAAAAGAAAAATTCCTGCAACGCTCTATATAAGAAGTGTTGTTAGCCTTATTTTTCAAGGATGCTATTCTTAAAGGAACATGAGCTGTCGACAGGAACTGATAAACAAGTGTTGACATTTATATCTCCCCTGTCTCACCGAGTGATAAAATAATTGTGCCTGATGTCTGCTCAGGATATTCCACTTCGGGAAAACATGAACCCATATCGATGGCGATACCAACATGTATTGATATTACAGAAATTACGGTAGTGAGCATGGCAAGCACGACAATGCCCCTAAATGTTGTGATTCGTGAAGGTGACGATGAGCAACTCTATATAAGTTCTTAGTGGAATAAAAAAACCAAATCTCACCAAAAATCTGCCGGGCTTTTAAGGAACGTGGAAGGAAGAATGATAAAAGCCAATGTAACAATAACCTAAATATACAAGTATATGTTAAGCATGTGCAATAATATTGAACATTCCTAAAGGTTGCAATAGGCTTCCAGTACGGCACCGAGTAAATCGCTACCCTTTCTTTCAGTTCTTTGCTGACAATGAAAGGACACAATTTAAATACTATGCACACCTTGGTGGACTAGATTTAACTTCCACATAAGGCTGAGATATTTACAAAACTCTGGACGACAGGTGATTGCGGTGGGATCGAAGACGCTATTTACCCTTTCAGAGGGCTACCACATTCACCACCACACCGAAAGTGTCAACCGTTTCGCCTTTCTCTCGACCGTTTCAAATTCAACTTCACTTTCACCCTATTCCTTATGTTAACCCAGATTTCTGAATGCAGCTCTAGAACACCCTTGTTTTTTTTGCATGAATATGAAGCCTTTTATTCTTAACTACACAAATTCCCGGAATTCAGTGTAATTCAGGGAAATAAGAGAGCTGTGTGCTTAATCATGTCCAATATGTGTCAAGAAAACACCTGTCTTGGATTCTAACTTAGTTCTCGTTCTTCAACGAAACGCTTTAAAATCAGGCTTACCGTACACATGCCAGTTTGTATACCAGCAAAACGACCAACAAAATAGTGTAGAATATTTGAGGAAAGAAGCAAATAGACCACAGCAACACCAAAAAGTGTCACGTTCACCATAACTGATGTAAAACGTCTGAAATTTTAAACACGAGTTGGATAGATACTGTATTGAATAAGGAAGAATGTGTTTCAGCAATTGAAAGAGTGCCTGAGTAACCAATCAATCACTTGAATCAAAAAAAATTTCGTAATCAAAGAAAATCCGTATAGTAACATACTCCATTCCCGGTCCCATTGTACGTTTTGCCATCTCTGGAAACGGCTTCCGACAAACTTTTAAGTGTGGATATCTAAACAGTGAAAATCCTTTAGACGAACATTTTCATCTTTCGTATGAAATGCTGAGATATTTGCAAAACTCCGGACCACAGGTGTATGCAGTGGGGAACGAACACGGGCTGTTGTCCTTACCGGGGAGCAGCGCACTTCACCAGTACACCATCCGAGTCCTTCGCTTTGCGCGTATCTCAGCTACTTCTATCGATCTTTTTTGCCATCAGCAATCTCCCCATCCCCGTTGAAAAGCAATGCATATCCCCGTTGACGGGTGATTGCTGATGGCAAAAAAAGAACGATAGAAGTAGCTGAGATACGCGCAAAGCGAAGGAGCCGGATGGTGTACTGGTGAAGTGCGCTGCTCCCCGGTAAGGACAACAGCGCGTGTTCGTTCTCCACTGCATACACCTGTGGTACGGAGTTTTGCAAATATCTCAGCATTTCATACGAGTTATACAAGATATTGTTAAGTGCTTTACTTATGTTTTTTAGTACCCTGTGCCATCTGCGTCATAGATCCTAGGCCCTGCATCAGTAGTTGGTAGTAATTCTTTTATAAAAAAATTCATGGTACAGAAATCTGTAGTACTCCTTTAAATCTATGGATAAGAATATAACAGAATGAACAATTCGTCCTTCATCAATATCTTAAGGATGCTCCATGCCTTCGACTCCATTTATAACATCGATCCATCGAATGAACGCATATTCGACCTACACAGTGGTTTTTAGGCTTTTGACCATCGCCAATGTTTCTACCCTCGTCAGCAAGTCTGAGGCCAATTCCTCACCTCGAAGGGATGGACAGCTTTGTTGCCCCAGAGGGCAGAATCACTGCAAGGCCCATGCGTGTGTCGGGCAGCACCTCTAACCAATGCCCTCTATGCGTCCTAGTTCTGTTTAAACGAGTTTATTCAAAGCTTAACTATGTACTTAGTAAGCATTATGTTGTGCTTTTCTTAGACGCAATGTCCTACGTGATGAGTTTAGAATCACTTTGCCTTCTTTCTTCCTCTGTTGCTCCTTCTTCCTGTGCACTTTTTCCTTCGTTGTAAGAACTAGTATTTTATGCTCGATATATGTATATATACATAAATGGTGCGTATAGCGCAGTGGTCGGAGGCGCCGCAAGTCTTTGTAAATGGCAGATATGCATTTCATAACTTCCAACGATGCTTAATGAAATCGAATGCATGGCGCACCTCTCAGGGATTGATTAACGCCGAGAGCTATACCTTTTATGTATACATATACATATATTTATATTTATATAATGGATAAAGATATATATGCTATATATATATATATATATATACATTTTTGCGAACTACCCTTATTGAGCTGGTGTGAAGTTAGTATAAATTGTCGTTGTTGTTGTTGATGTTGTGGCTCGATGGCTGACGTTTCGGCGACTTCTCCTTCATCATAACCTCGACGTACTAAATGTAAAAACAGTCTTCTGATTCGGTGAAAACTTCATAGTATTAATGAAGATGTAACATATAAATGAATGTCTTTTTATTTCAAAAAAAAAAGAAAAAAAGCTCGCCATGCTGTTGCGTGTGGGACCACCGCTGTGTTGTTCAAGTGGGATGACGAGTAAAACGCACTCAAATCAAAAAGTAAGTTTGAAAAGGCACCAGGTCCAATGTGTGAGGCATTCGTCTTTTCGGTTCATCTTTGAACTTTTGAAATGTTTTTGATTCTTGTGGTAGTATGCTAACGGTTACTTCAAAATAACGGCGTCACGAATCATTTATACCCTTTGTTTACCTAGAAGAGCACTTTATCGAACTTTAAGTTTCTCACTTAGATGTTTTTTTATGCAAACACAAAGTCGTCTACCCGCTTCTCCAATGTATTCTTTACCATGTGCCATGCATAAGACTATGCATTTCGTTCCCGAACTCATCCAATTCCCGTTGCTTCCGTTACGACAGATTAACAATTTCCTGAGCTGCAAGAACACTCACAGAGGCAATTTTTGTGCAGCTAAAGAAATTGTGCATTCCGTCGTAACTGAGCAGAGAGGGCCTGCATGAGTTCAGGTGAAATATGAACCACAATATAATGAATAAATAATAATAATAATAATGAATATAATAATCACAATGAATCAATATGAATCCACTGAATCATAACACTGTTGTTATTTACATTTAATGCGTGAACTTTCTGAGGAAACCGAAGTCGCCGAAAAGTCAACCATAGAACAACAACAACAACAACGACAACAAGAACTAATACCAACTTCACATCAGCTCAACAAGGGCAGTTCGTAATAGTAATATATATATATATTTTACAGACTGTAAGGGGGAGCAGTGGTCGGAGGCGCGCTGCAACACACATGTAAAATCGATCTCCGCGCCAATGGCTCACCAAGCCTTCCAACCCTACTGGGTTGGCAAATTGGTACCAGACTTGTCTGGGAGGATAGCAACACTGGCTCGATACATCGGTAGGCCACTGCGAATCATTGTAAAGGCCATATATGCATTCAGTCACCTCCAACGATACTTAATGAAATCGAATGTATGGCGCATCCCTTAGAGATTGGTCAACGCCGAGAGCTTTATTCTTTTTATCCTTTAAGCACAGAACACTATGCTGCATTCCATACGAGCAAAATTTTCAAACTTGCCTTGAATACTAAATTCAAATTAGCTCTCGTTAGCAATCGAACGCCGCTTACCTGTGCATCATTTTGCACCATACTTTGCCCAACTGGTATCCTGTGTACTCAAAAATCATTGCAATAACAATCATGAATATAATGCCACCAAGCAGTCCTAAATAGAAGTACCATAGGAAAAACTTGCTATCGAAAGTAAGTGTACATTTGGAAGTATCTGTGAAGAGAGCCTTGAAGTTATAGATTTGATTACTTGAGTTTTTTCTTCCTTTAGAATCATATATTATCTCATCTTCTAGCTTTGCCATACAGACTACAGTACTTTTTTTAAAACAATCTCACCACAATAAGAATGTTGAGGTATGAGTAAAATTCGGAACCCTGTGCAGGCTTCGTTCCCCCGATTACCTCTACCGGAAGCTCGCATGCTATCCAGTACACTAACTCAAGCCCTTGCTTTGTTCTTCTCCCAGCCGTGTTTTTTCTCTGTTGCTGCTATTAGAAATCACTCGTCACTGGGTAAGCGTAACCACGGGTTTGAAGACCAATGAAGATCCCGAGTTTTGTTCATATCTCTGCGTCCATGTAATTGTAGTTGACATCACACCCTGCCATGAGAAAGAATAGGAAGTGAGTAAAAAAATTACATTGGAATTTCACTACTATTCAACACGTGCGGTGACTAAACCACTTGGAAACTTGACAGGCACATGAAAGAGAAGTCAATTTATGACTGGTATTGCTAACAAGTATACAAGTAAGTACTTCGGAGTTTTATTCAGAGTAGAATTAGAAATAGTATTGATATAACAAAAATTCGAAAAATCTGGTATTTGCGGGGAAACCGCTCAAATTGACAACCTCTTTTGAGGATAATCTCGCACTCGCTTCGATGGAAAAAACGAAGGAATGGAGGACCTTCGGAAGCTCTGCATTTCGCTGTTGTAGAATAATTGAAGTAATTTGTTCGAAAAGTTTCTTTCTTAAGAATATCGCTAGGACCGTTAGCTCATTAGATTTCGGTGCCTTCTATTTGAATTATGAATGTTCATCGAGAAATTGAGAAATGTTTGCTTGAAAAGTGAAAGGCCCATTAACTTCCGATTATGCATGAATCATATGTGACTGATGCTGTGGCGAATGTGTTAACGAGGAAGAGAAAACTAAACTAAACTAAAACATGACGAAGTAGAAATGTCGTTGGAGATAGTTATAGAAATCACGATTCTAACGAAGGTATAGTATAACTTCCAAAATCGTTCCACTAGTGGATGACATCTGACATACCTGACTGCTTAAAGGCAACTGGCATAGCGACCACACCACCGCCAACCATATCAGCTACGATGAATATCGCAGTTACTACCCAGCCAAGCTTTTTCACGGGACGCACCGGAGCTAGAATATTCCCATGTATTTTTGAGTATTACTTAGTTAGCAAAGGTTCATTAAAGCATGGGACACTATTCAGCTTACACTTTATTGATTCGTACTAAATACTTTTATACAGTCAAAGGTTGTTGAACATCTTTCATTACAAACCAATTCACTTTTAAACATCTTTTTACATAAAATCTTCTGTCATATAGTGTGTAAATCCCAGCACATCCTGCATTCGGTTACCCATCATCCATGAAGCTGATTGGATATGCGGGTGTGTTTGGTTGCCACTCAAGGACATTGCACTTTTCATGAATGCCACCAAATACTGGTCCAGTGATTGCCCTGGGAAAGCTCCGTTAGAGAGCTCCAAATCGTCATCACAAAGGCTCCAAGCAGGAGTTATGGAGCTCTTCCCAGAGCGTACCAATTTACTGAGCCCGGAGCAATGGTAAGCGTGGGTTGACCCGAATCGTGGGCGAACCTGCCACCATGCCTGTATTGTGCTGCATTTCTACACAGTTTGCCTTCCGCACTCCTGAATGAACGCTGAAATTATGCTTCATCAGCGACTTTCATGACTGACGAATTGCGAATTTTCATGAATACCATTCTTATGGAAATACAAAAATACTTCGAAAATTGTTTAAGGTGATCGACATCGACAAGGATCGTCGGCTCTGATGAAGGCGAAGACATCGAAACGTTAGCCGAATAAAGATCTCTATCAACCTCGTGTAGGCTCAACAATATAAACATATGTTGATTATTACAGCACCGAGATTAAATGACGGTCGGTTTCAAAATTGTTTCGCTATTCGCCATGTGCTAACAAAATACCGGCTGCTGCAAGGAGGATTAACCGCTGAACACAAATTATTATCAACGGATAATCATAACAACAACAATCGCCTTGTATAAAAGAACGTCGACGGATGAGTATGGCTCATTCGAGATGTTCAACTGTGGAAGATCCGGTTCGATGCGAGACAAAACGTCATATGGAGAAGGCAAAGACTTAAGAGGACAATTATAAAATAGCCGGTAGTTGGTGAAAAATAAGTAAAAGTCTTGATATCGTGCAGAGTTATGTTTAAAAAAAACCAAAAGTGCGAGGAGTGATCTCAAAAACAAACTGGTTCCAGACTTTAGAAACGCTCCATGCGATCCACAAAGGCCGGCGATTCCTCTGTAGTGAAGACCCAGCAACGCTTTAGCAGAGCTACCGCAGAATCTCAGGAAAAAGTCAGCTCAGACAGCATTCAACGATGAGATTTTTGAAGATAAAATCCTTAAATGGTCATTGAATCCGCACGTAAATCCAAAGACCTTGCGGATTACGCATGACAGAGAACGAAATGGAGTGCAGGAGCCTTCATAGTATGTGAAACCACGGAATTTAAATAAACAAATAAATATAAACAAAGAAAACTGGAACCGAAGCCCACCACCAATAGCGGCGTTCGACATGCACATTTCCGAATAGCAGTGGACAAATGGTTGAGCAGATAGTTGGTCATTGCCCGGTAATAACGATTGAACCATGGTCTAAAATGGAGAAATTAATTTCCTTCTTGCGAGCCTCATACACACGTACACAGTAGCATATTGCGACGAATCTTATTACCAGTATAAAACTATACAGCTCAAACCACGACGAAGCGTTTAACTATATGCGTCTCAGTATGCGTCGGACCGATAAAGCAACATCAATGAAAATGTGCAAGTTGAAGTTAAAATTATGACACCAAACATGAAAATTCTCCATTAACACAGTCTGTAAAGGCGTTTCCTAGATAGAAACCCAAATAATTTCAAAATGTATCATATGATGGGATGCTTAATTATGGGTTAGGTAGAAAAAGAATAAAGGATAAAGCTTTCGGCGTTGATCAATTCCTGAGGAATGCGCCATGCATTCGACTTCATTAATAATCGTTTGGAGGTGATTGAATGCATATCTGGCCTTTACAGAGAGTCACTGTGGCCTACAGATGTATCGAGCCACTGCTGCTATCTTCTCAGACAAGTCTGGTACCAATTTGCCCACCCCGGAAGGATGGAGGGCTTGGTGGGTCATGGGCTCGGGGATCGATTCCATGTGTGCGTTGCAGGGCGCCTCCGACCACTGCGCCACACGCGCCCTTTGACATGGATCAGTTATCTACATGTAATTCAACGCGAACTCTGTGCTAGATGGTAGCACTTCATCTATAAATTGGATAACAAATGCGATCGAAAAATTATTGTGGAGGTTTTCTTGCACTATTAGGTCAAAATTTAGGACTGGCAACCCACCACGGGAAAATTGTAGAATGGTCAAGTGAACTACGCATCTTTATAATTCTGATAAACTCTAAACAAAGCGAAATTCATTAATAGCATTTAAGATTAAAAAGGGACGCCGTGAGTGTGTTGTTTCGGTTAACCAAAAATACGAGACTACAATCTTTCTTTATTTTCCAGCGTGACAACCTAAGTGGATAGACGTATTCTACCACGTCGCAGCTTAGGAAGATAGAGTAGCTGAAAAGAGTTTATGGGGAGAAAATTTCCCACACATTAATATACAGTTTAAACTATGTTGAATTCAATGAGATCATCCGTAGATCTTTTTTTTAGTGTAACCAAACTATAAAGAAGTTACGTGACAAAGTTGTGTGAAGTGGAGGATTTCATCCGAAACACAACGTCATATTCTCCAGATATTTTCTTCTATATTCATCAAAGGATTGGTTATGACTTTATCCTTTGCAAACTGCAATTGAAAAATTACAAAGGAAAGCGTGTAGCCCAGTGGTTAGAGGTGCCCTGCAATACACATGGGATCGATCTCGCACCTCAGGCTCACCAATCCTTTCGTTCCTCCGTGGTCGGAAAATTGGGAGCAGACTTATTTGGGATGATACAGTCCCGGCTTGATACATTGGTAGGCCACCGCGAGTCATTGTAAAGGAAATCAATCACCTCCAAACGATGCTTAATGAAGTTGAATGCATGGCGCAACCCTCAGGGATTGATTAACGCCGAAAGCTTTATTCTTTCTGTTTTATCTTTTAAAAATGTTCTACTTGCAGTTCAAAGACACAGTACGATTTGAAGAATTAACTAAATTTAGGAAAGAAGGAACCACATTGATTAAATCGCATTCTAATGTCGATTTTTGCTCCACAGATGGGTAATACGTGCATAAGCCCAGGGAAGGGTAGTTGCTGATTCGAATCTAGGTTGGGGCACGCGTTTTGTAGATATCTCAGTAACACTGCGCTTGCATCAAAGCATTATTGTTGATAAAGTTATAGCTAAACCCATAAACAGAGTGATCAAAGAAGAAACAAAAACAAACCGAAAAAGGAGTATTTAGCAGTGAGAGTAAGAACGGAAAAAGCTACTATCAAAACAAGAATCTTATAGGCAGAAGGACAAACGGGTCAGTCAAATGGAGATGGTGAAGGACTGTGACGAGAGCACAGCATAAAATGCAGCACTCAAGAGTTCCATGATTTCAATGGGCTTAAGAATTGACGAAATCATCGGACATGAAACGACTCTATCGTATACATCGACAACGTGTTCACAATTAAAAATTCGTCAAAATCAAAAAAGAGCATATTGATTGAACGGCACGTTAGGAATGAACTGAATTTTTAATAAACCGCTTGTTATTGTCGAAAATATTTTTCGGGAAACTGCTAGCGCTGCCTGAATGCTAGTTTAAAGCTCAGCGCTCCATAGTTTTATTCTACGGTTACATGTGCACATGCATATATAGATAGCTTTGTGCGACTAGAAAATACTGAACGCTACGAATCTCACCAGTCAATGGCTTACCTTTTAATAGCAGCATACAGCTAATCCGTAAGAAGAAAAGCTGTCGGCGTTGATCAATCCCCTAGGGATGTGCCGTGAATTCCACCTCATTAAGCATCACTTAGAGGTGATTGAATGCATATCTGGTCTTTACAATGACTTGCAGTGGCCAACCGATGTGTCGAGTCAGTGGTGCTATCCTCCCAGACAAGTTTGGCACCAATTCGCCGACCCCGGAGCGATGGAAGGCTTGGTGGGCTGGGGGCGCGCGAATAGATCCCATGTGTATTGCAGCGCACCCCCGACCATTGCCCTACACGTGCCCCTATTGTAAACTTATTGTAAACTAGACACCAGTAGCAAATATATCTAAACTGATTAACCTGTAGTGTAAACTTACTCTCATTTAACCTCCATTTAAATAATTAGTGTCCTTCTACTGACAAGCTAAGACGAGTTTGTTGCTAAACATTTATTCGGCTAACGTTTAGACGTCTTCGTCTTCTTCAGAGACAATTATCCGAATCAATGGTCCTCAATCGTTCGTCCCTGTGTGTGTGATCCTTGTCTTTGTAACGCATCGAACCTTCTTCAGTGGAGAATCGCCGAATGAAGCAAACTCATTCGACGAAGCCATTTTTCACCGGACGGTTATTGTTGAATATGATTGTCCATTAATAACAAATTGTTTCCCAACGGACAATCCATCCTAAAGCAGTCGGTATTAGATGAGCCTGTACGTAGAGAAGTAATACTATTCTAAACCGACTAAGATTCGACTTTATACCGTATCGAAGACCCCACAACATCTGAGTTAACGACTGTGGATCACAGACTCGGATCATTGGCTCTGAGGAAGAAGAAGAAAAAGAAGAAGAACATCATCTCAGCTTGTGAATAAAAAAAGTACATTGATTTAAAAATGGTTTCTTCATTGATAACCCTACATGGTGCTGACAAAAAGGGCTTTAGTCGGCTAAGATTTCGGCGCCCTCGCTTTGTTCAGAGATTGATCCAAGCCGACTGTCGACAGTTGCTCTTCCGATGTGAGTCTAGGTGATTGCATCGAGTCAAATCCAATGGAGAAACGCTCGATTAAAAGTCGTTTTTGGAATGTCTAAAGTAAACTTATTATTGTCATTAGCC